TGGTGAAGAAAAAATACCTTGAAACTGCTGATGATACTTTTAATTCTGTGTTTAGAGCTCTTCGGGATGGGTATTAAAAGAAAAGAAGTTTAATTGAGACGCAGATAAAGTCGGTAATATTTACGTAATTTAACTTTCGAATAGTTTAAGGGTATAAGCTATGCAACAGGTAATTTTACGAAAAACGGAAGGGCATTGAATATTTGAAAGTATAATAAAAATTATTGGACGTTCTGTTATTAAATATTATATTTCAGAAGCTAGATCGTGAAACGCGTAACTAATTTTAACTAAAGATTAATGATTCAGAAGTTCCTATGTTGTGTGAATTAATTTCTTTTTAGACAAAACATGTCAGAAGTTCAAAACCAAAGGCTCTGGTGCTTAAAACTCCAGATAAAAAAATATTAGTGCTCCGACTAGTGTGATACGTAAAAATAATAATCATTCGTTACATAAATATGAGTCATTTAAAAAATTAAATCAAAATTAAAGATAATTAAAAAATTGTGTTAAATTGTTTTATTAAGGTACATTTAACCGCAAAACGTGATTCGAAATTCAGATGCTTCCGAATGCCACAAAAACATCACTCGTTAATTTATCACCTACTCAGCAGCGACACCATCAATCAACAGCAGGATAAAACAAAGACAGAAGCATCGAATGACTAGGTTATAAATGAGAATGCAGATGGTTTTCATAAAAATCAATCAAAATATGTTATTAGCAACTGCAATAGTACTGTCTATCCACACTAGCGAGAGCAGTTTAGCTGAAGGCCAAGATGGATCAATTCATAGCTCTAGGCCTCCTTCATGGTTTAATTGGAACTTTCTTACCTCCATGGTTTAATTGAAGGGGAGTGGATAAAAACCGCTAATATTTTTTCCCTTTCGTAGGTCGAAGAGGTGTGGGTAAAAAGCGCGGGTATTTTTTCTTCTCGGAGTTCAGGGGTCATTTAATGTTTTTTCTTACAATCTTTAAGCATGGCTGTTACTGACCTTCTTTTTTACTTTCAAATCTTCATTTTTACTATGAATTCTACTGTTCCAGGAAGCTCTGAAAATAAGCCTTTCAACAGCAATTTTAAGCAATTAGTGCATAATGAGTTAATATAACAACAAATTAGTGCATAATGAATTAATATAATAAATAATGTGATAATTAGTGCAAGCTTGTGATGAAAGAGCACAGTTAGCAAGACTGACTATCCCAGTTACACAGCCAACACGTACAGCGAATAAGATGACTGGCGTTTCTATTGTCAGAATAAACAGAATTCGTAAAGAATCTGAATGCTAAATTCTCTTCTCCTAAAAAAAGAGAGAAACTCTTGCAAGCACAGACTTATAATTTTTATTTTGATATTTTAAGAAGTACAGTTCAAGACTTTTATGTCAAGGAAAATAAAGTACCAACTAAAGCCAGACTGCTTCCTGTATTAAAAGACATAATCGATTTTCCTTGGCAAAGAGGAACGCTAAGAAATAATCTCCGGGAAATTCTCCAGGAAAAATTAAATAAAAAAATTTGTAAGATACTGAGATTAGCAAAAAAGAAGAAAAAAAAAACTTATATACTAGAAAAATTTTCAATGTTTACAGTAATATTTTAATAATTTCAGAAGTCTTTTTATTATGCTATATAATATAAACATTATTTATAAAAATTGATAAAAATTTAATCTATTTATGAAAGCACTTTAAAATCTTATCATACACTACTCAAAACTAACTACAAAAGTTATACATCTAATACATTTAATAGCTATTGCTAGACATAGTTAATACTTTAAAATATGCAAAATCTATTAGAGATATGAATGGGGCTATAAATTCTCCAAACTGCTGCTGTAAGAAGAAACTTTGATACTTTTGGATTATCCACATCCACTGAAAAGCATTTACAAGACATGCCACAAACAGGCAAAAAACCAGTCAAGAATTTAAGAAATTTATTTATTTCAAATAATTTATTACTTTATTCTTTGATAGATTAATTATGTGTCAAAAACATACAAAAATGAAGAACATTTATTTTTAAAAAATGACTTTCATTTTTAATGTATTAAACAAAACATTGGGCAATATAACTGGTCTCTAAAATCAAATCCATTTAATATTTTTCAAAAGTATGTAAATCTGCTAAGTAATCTAATTTTTTTCAAAAATTTAGTGTTCCTGATTATTAACACCTCCACAAATTGACTTATTGGAGACTTTGTGAATTGGTGAATGACATTTATTTAGTTATTATACAGTTTATACCTACTTTCTGTTCATTAATAATAATAAAAAGGAGCATTTTGAAAGAAACAGGAATATTTGTGAGAAAAAGTAAAAATCTACATGGCAAACATTTGCATTTTTACAGCCAACAGATACTGTTTAGTGAAATGATAGTTAATATACAATGGATAATTTTAATTATATTCAAACATGTGTGCAATATACACTGAAGTGACAAAAGTCATGGGATACCACCTAATATTTTGTCGTTCCTCCTTTTGCCTGGCGAAGTGCAGCAACTTGACGTGGCATGGACTCAACAAGTCGTTGGAAGTCTCCTGCAGAATACTGAGCCTGCTGCCTCTATAGACGTCCAAATTGTGAAAGTGTTTGACGGTGCAGGGTTTTGGGTACGAACTGACCTCTCGATACGTCCTAAATGTTCGAGGGATATTCGACGATCTAGGTGGCCAGATCATTCGCTGAATTGTCCAGAACTTTTTTTAACCAATCGCGAACAATTGTGGCCGGTGACATGGCGCATTGTCATCATAAAAACCCCATTTTGTTTGAGTATGTGAAGTCCATGAATGGCTGTAATGATCTCCAAGTAGCTGAAGGTATCCATTTCCAGTCATGATCGGTTCAGTTGCACCAGAGGACCGAGTCCATGCCAAAAAACGCCCAGACCATTAGGGAACCACCACTTCTTGAACAGTGCCTTGTTGACAACTTGGGTCCATGGCTTCGTGGGGTCTGCGCCACACTCGAACCCTACCATCAGCTCTTACGAACTGAAATCGTGACTCATCTGACCAAAGCCATGGTTTTTCCATTCGTTTAGGGACTAACGATATGCTCACGAGCCCACGAGAGTCCTGCAGGCGATGTCGTGCTGTCAGTAAAGGCACTCGAGTCGGTCTTTGCTGGCAAGCCCAAGGAAGACAAATTTCTCTCACTGTCCTATCGGACACGTCTCTCGTACGTCCCACATTGATTTCTGCGGTTATTTGATGCAGTGTTGCTTGTCTGTGAACACTGACAACTCTACGCAGACGTCGCTAGTCTCGGTCGTTAAGTGCAGATGGTCAGCCACTGCGCTATCCATGGTGGGATGTTATGCCTGAAATTAGATAATCTTGGCACACTCTTGCACTGTGGATCTCGGAATGTTGAATTCCCTAATGATATCTGAATGGATGACCCCATGCGTCTAGCTCCACTACCATTCCGCGTTCAAAGTCTGTTAATTTTCGTCGTGTGGTCATAATCATGCCAAAGCCTCTTCACATGAATAACTTGAACACAAATGAAAGCCCTGCCAAAGCACTTCGCATTTATACATTTTCTACGCAATACTATTGCCATCTGTATATTTGCATATTGCTGTCCCATGACTTTTGTCACTTCAGTGTATACCTGCACTGGTTAGCTGTTGTTGACATGTACTTGAAAGTATGCCAATACCACAGTTCTACCAAATGTTAGAACTATTAGAGGGGAGAGGAATAATTCAAAAGCAGTGTTTTTCTTTTTTCTTTTTTTTTACTATTACCAAAAAATTTATAATTTTACTATATTAGTTTCAATTTAAATCAGGTTAGCTACATAAAAATATGGAACAATATGTTGATGCCAATCAATAAATTCTGAAAGATTGCCCTACCTTTCATATAACATTTAAAAAAAAAATGTTTTTACATTTACAGAAAATTTATTTAGAAATATTTAATATACAAACCTGGCAAATTTTATGCCTTGAACATTGGAAAAATAATCAGCCACACTTAGGAAAATGTGTGACACAGAATAACAAGCTCCACACCACGATGCATAATACATGAGTACAACATCCTAGAATATAAGAAAGCAGAATTACAGAATCATTCTCAAAATCAAGCAACCACATAAATCATGACATAAAGTGGGGGGGGGAGAAAGCCTTAATGATGAAACAATGACTATTTTTCTGGGAGGGAGAAGTAATTAATGAGAAAAGTACTACATATAACATACTTTCCTATAATAAAGCTGTTTACACTTTTTAAACAATATATTATTGGTGTTAATTTTAATATTAAAAAAGTTTAAATATGTCTGAAGTGCACTAAGTATCGACAAGGTGTCTTAATGTGCCTAGGACGATATTCAAACAATACATCCTAGGTTTCTGCCCTTTTACAAGGGAGAATTAAAATGCTTATTATTTAAAATTAAAATCTACTTAAATCTGATTGTTTAAAAGTACACAGAAGACTAAAAATTAAAATACTTATAAAAAAAATAAAAGGATTCAGAAAGCCTACACGGACTGATTGTTTAAAAGTACACAGAAGACTGAAAATTAAAATACTTATAAAAATGAAAGAATTCAGAAGACCCAAAAGGTAAACGGAAGACTAAAAATTAAAATACTTATACAAATGAAAGAATTCAGAAAGCTCTGCAAGCTGCAGATATGCTATTATATATTATAACTATATATTATACTCTATAATTATATAACTGCAGAGATTATTATAGCTGCAAGTCATAGTAACTACAACTGAAAAATGCTTTGTACAATTTGGCCTCATGATATATACATGACCACAAGGAATAAATAAAAATAATGCTAATTTTCCAGGCCATTTTATTCGCTTAATAGCCTCTTTTCTCAGCAACAAAATCAAAATCGGTACTGCTTACTCAACCACCAGAGTAATCAATGCTGGTGTCCCACGGGGGTCGGCACTTTCGCCATACCTTTTTACTATTTATACATAAGGCATCCCTAAAGACCCTTCCGTTCATCTTGCACTCTTTGCCGGCATACTTACTAAAGAGAGATCGCCGTAAGAAACCAAAAACTGCACAGTTATCGCTGTAAGAAACCAATTCCAAAACTATCTCATAAAACTGGAAAAATGGCTCACCCTTTGGAGGATTAAAATTAATACATAAACTAAGGCAATAATTTTCCGTAAAGGAAACATGAAATGTTATCCTCCACACCTTGAAATATTTGATGAAGAAATAGACTGTATTAATGAAACCAAATACATTGGAGTCACCCTTGACCAAAAACTTACCTTCAGAACCCACTTCCGCTCCATAGTACAAAAATTTTAAATCACCACAGCTACTATGCAACCTCTTCTTGGTAGAAAAAGCAACTTATCTACTACAAACAATTTAATTTTATATCTCTCCATACTTCGTCCAGCTCTCCTTTATGCAGCTCCGATCTGGAGACATGCAGCTAAAATCAATATTAAACAATTACAAATTCTGCAAAATAAAATTCTACGAGAAATTATCAATGCTCCTTGGTATATACCAAACATCTATATTCACAGAGACCTTCAAATCGAACTTATACAAGAGTATATTAAGTGATTAGCGGTCAACTTCTTTTATTCAGTACAAACTCACAGTAACAGCCTTATTAGCACTCCCAAACACTCCCCGCATCCCAGTGAAAAACATCGGTACCCATGTTATCAGGACTTGTATTCCTCTTGACTAGCTTTGGAAACATGAATTGTCCTGACTCGGAACAGGGAGCTTACTCAAGCTATGATCAAGAAATTGTGAAGTAGACAATACAAGCAGGAAGGGTATACGAAACCCTTTATTCTTCCTATCTTTACAGGTATTTCCAAAACTTCGGAATACAGAGACCAACCACTTGTGGTCTGAACGTAAGAATATAAAAACTACTAACTAAAACTAATTTTGAATTAGTATACAAGTGCCTAGCTTTAAGATTGGTCGTTATTTAACAAAGGTCCGTATGTAGTACGCCGAGCTGCTAAAACTACGATACGTTTGCAATTATCGAGAGGACTAAACCTCTGGCCTTGAAGGCAACCAAGTGAAAACTGGTGAAACTACAATGGCGAACGGCTTGCTTCCAATAACTCCTTCCTCTCTCTTGCTTGGCAAAAAGCCACAACTTAAGTACTTGGCGTTAGCAAGACAATTTGCATAAATAAGTTAAAGTGTTTAAATTCTGGCCGGAAGTAGAAAATAAGAAGTGATAGTACAGTTTCAAAATAAAATAAACATTAGTAAAACTTAGGATCCTTACAAATTAAAGTTAAAAATGTAAAAAAACATGCTTAAAAAAAGTCAGCTTTTATGCATGTGCTGTTTGCTACATGTGCACAATATTTTTTTAGCTTCCTCCCCCTCCCCCCAAAAAATATCAGAGAGTTGCACTTCAGCACCATGCACATCTTTGCACTGTGCATGCTTTCATTCTCCCCAGGCACAGTGATCTGTTTTCACTTAAAAATATCAGAGAATTGCAGAGATATCACTCCATAAATTTCAATCATTTAAAAAGTGTTGGGTAGAGGCAAGCGAACGTTTTTTCTTATGCGCATGCATATTAATTATGATGGCGCAGCTGTCTCTTCTACCGACACATCCGTCATTTGAGCTTCAAGCGTAAAGAGATGGTGAGATGTTACTTGCTGTGTGATGGTCAATACGATTTCCTGTGTGACCCTTTTATTCATTATACGTGTAAATAAAGTGTGTTGTCCTAAATCGATGGCTTCTTTACTCTAAATATCGGCCTCTGAACAACAAATGGTAGCAGAGCGTGGTTTCGATCCACGGACCTCTGCTACCATTTGTTGTTCAGAGGCCAATATTTAGAGTAAAGAAGCCATCGATTTAGGACAACACACTTTATTTACACGTATAATGAATAAAAGGATCACACAGGAAATCGTATTGACCATCACACAGCAAGTAACAAAATAATTGAAGAACGATCAGTTAAATTTAACGAATCTTTAAAAGATAGTAATTATATGGGGAAAAATAAAACCTTACTAATAAACTTGGGATGGGGAAAAATAAATAAATGGATATATGGGGAAAAATAAAACCTTACTAATAAACCTTAAAATAAACTTGGGATATTGAAGAATTAAAAGAAAGAGGAAACGAAGTAGATCAACAACCACACCTCGAAATGGTTGTTACGGAAAACACTCAAGCAAGCGAATATGATGACTCATCGAATTTCGAAATCGACGACATGAGCCATTGTAGCGGGATTGATGACAGGGGAATAAAGTCCAAACATCTGATAGCTATGAACAAAAGTAATAAATATGGAAATGAAATACCATTAAGAGGATCTGAGAGGCTCAAATCAAAACAACTAGAATCAGTATAATCAGTAATGTTCCGAATGATTTTCAGAAGCAAAACAAAGTGCTAATTGGTATGACTGGAAATCGAGGATGGAAAATGAATTAAATTCATTACATAAACACGAAATGTGGGAAATAGTAGAGAGGCCTGAAAAAACAAAATTAGTAAAAAGTAAGTTACAAAATTAGTAAAGTATTACACTTTGAAGGAAGGAGACTCTGGGGAAAGTAAAATATAAAGCGCGATTAGTAGCGGCTGGGTTTAATCAAATAAAAAATAAGGATTATACCGAATCATATTCACCAGTAGTTAACATTGAATGTTTTACGATTATTGCTTGCACTTTCAGCTAAATTAAACTTAACTGTTAAATTTTATGATGTAGAAACAGCATACTTGTACAGTAACTTAAACGAGGATGTGTATATGACTCCTCCACCTGGTTATGGAAAAACTGATTGGAGAAGGAAAAAGTATGTAAATTGAAGAAAAGTATTTACGAATTGCCTCAATCGGGTAGAAATTGGTATATGAAAATAAAAACTGAATTAAAAGCTTGGGCTGGTACAGTTAGCATCTGATAATTGTATATTTATTTATAATGATACCAAAAACATTTATATTGTGTTTGTATGTTGATGATTTAACTGTATTCTGTAATAATAAAGAAATGCTGAAATATTGTTCTAAATAAAAAATGTATTTGAGTTACATGAAAATACTAATTCAAATTTTTAGGAATGCAAATAGAAAACTTAAATGGTAATATGTTTGTCTCAAACAGAATATATTGAATCTTTATTGACTAAACACAATCTGGAAAATTCTAAAGCATGAAAACGCCAATCTTTAAAGGGGCAGATAAAGGTTTTTTCACGTACAAATGAAAAAATTGAAGCAATTTTGTATCAGGAATTAATTGGGGAACTTTTATATTTAGCGAATAGAACGCGTCCTGATATATCATTTGTAACAACTTATTTTGTCACAATTTAATCATGTACCAGAAAAAAGGCTTATCTTATGGCTAAAAGGGTATTAAGGTATTTAAAAGGTACAAAAAATAAAAAACTTTTCTATAGCAATGATTTTGGAGTTTTAAATGCATACGCTGATGCTAGTGGGGAAATGCAGAAAATGGTAAGTCATTTTCTGGTGGTACTATTTTACTAGGTGATTCATTGAGTTCTTGGAAATGTCGTAAGCAGAAAGTGTTAGTCTGTCTCTTGTGAAGCAGAATTATTTTCTATTTCTGAAATTTGTAAGGATATTATTTGGACTGTAAATTTATTATCAGAATTAAATGTAAACAATTTTGAATGGTGCAGTGGTCTTGAATACAGACAGTCAAGCTGCCATCCAGTGGATCAACTGTGCAAGATCTTCTACGAAATCCAGACACATAACTTACGTTTCCATTTTATGAAGGACTTAACAAAGGACAATGTTATTAGATGGAATATTCACAAACTGATAATATGATTGCAGATTCTTACTAAGAGTTCAGTGAAGAAAAATTAATGTATACATGAAAGTAATTTCCTTAATTTCTTAAGTAATGTGTTATATGTTTTTTGTATTTCATTTTTTGTATTGAAAAAATGTTACCGCAGGAAGGGTGTGTGGGTAGAGGCGAGCGAACGTTTTTTCTTATGCGCATGCGTATTAATTATGATGGAGCAGCTGTCTCTTCTACCGACACATCCGTCATTCGAGCTTCGAGCGTAAAGAGATGGTGAGATGTTACTTGCTGTGTGATGATCAATACGATTACCTGTGTGATCCTTTTATTCATTATACGTGTAAATAAAGTGTTTTGTTCTAAATCGATGGCTTCTTTACTCTAAATATCGGCCTCTGAACAACAAAAAGCATAGTTTTTATGTGAATTTTTTCATTCTCTATTGTTGAACAAAAAGTTACATTTCCATAGAAATGCAACACTTTCTTTTTTAATCGGTCAGCAAAGTCCATAGTCTCATTATGATTTCTTATAAGAGAAAAAAATCTGATGTGTGCACCACATGACTTCCTTGTATTGGAATATTAAATTGGAATATAATTATACGCATTTTTTCTTGCATTCATTTAAACTTATTGGATGAATTAATCTACTTCGCCGACAGTGCATAACAACAATAGAATAATGCATTTTTTTAAATTCCCTCTAGTATTTGTTTATCATGGCGACACTCTGCGCTAGATTCATTAAACAGTATTATAATTTTATAACAGTTACTTATATAATAATTATATAACGAAACTAAGTTAACTGTCATATAATCCAATAATATAACGTAACTAATTTTCGTTCTAACTCATAATGCACAAAATTATATCATTAAGAATAGAATTATCTAATTGTTGCTACATGTTCTATTCAAATAATAAAGCTAGAACGATTATAAAAAGAAAATTAAGCAAACAAAACAAAAAGAACAGTTTTTCACAGACGATTGGTATTTCTCATTCAATTAATTCAGTTCTCACTTTCGCGAAGGCAAAAATACATAAAAACTCAAAATATCTATATTAAAATTACGAAGTAAATCTCAAACGCTTTTTGTCGAAAAAATTCCAGAAAGAATTAGCATGATTTAATTGGCAATAATAATGAAAGCGTTTTTTGTTGTTGCGAAGCTAAGTTTCTCAAAATTAGCAACAATCCACTAGTCTCCGTTCAAATGAACAATCAATGGCTGCCATTAAAAACGGGCTTGCAACAATTAAACAACTTAAAATTGCTGATATTCTAAAATATTGCACAAGATTACTAAAGGCAAAAACTTTAACCGAAGATAAAAACACATAATTCAATCATTTTAAAGCAAAAAAATGTACAAATTTACAAACATAAGAGTAAAGAAGGTGAGATACTGACCAGGTAACGAGTGGATATATATATAAAATATATTTATATACGTTGGTGCGGCCGATTGCAACCAAAATACGAGGTGCCATCTCATGTTATAGCAGTCCTATATACAAAATTCAACTTCTGAGGCTACCGTTTTTGTTTATGCGGATATGTACGTATGCATGCACGTACGTACATACGTTTCCAGACGCCCACGAAAATTCTCTTCAGAATTTAAATTTAAAGCAGTTTTATATTTTTTTGAAGAAAAAAGGTATTTTATTCTGTCCTTACTACAGATATCACGCAAAAACATCGTTAAATTGCATTCGATAGCGGTCAAAATGGATGTTTTCGTTGAAATATGCTGCCTGAAGCTTCTCACAATTACAATACTTCCTTTTTACTTCGTACAAGGAAGTAAAAAGTACTAGCAAAAGAGAATGCAACAAAAACAAATATTGATCGGAAAAATGACTGTTGAATTTGAAGGCAAAAAATCAGCTCTTGCCCATTGTGTGCACACTCCTAACTGGATTGACACATAAATATATTTTGGAAATGTCATGGGTGCTTCCTAGGGTGACATATTCCACTGCCTCATGAATACATTAACCCCTTCGAGCCGTGTAGCGAAAACGCGTGCTTATCGTGGAGGCCGGCAGTGTCTTCCACGAGCATCTCTCCAGGGACGGGGGCTTTTTTGCTACTAAGCCTAAATCCATGAAATTTCCGAAGTATCAACGCATTGTTTAATAATGCTCTATAGAGTATTTAAACGGCTTATGCTTTATAGATTTTTATATATATACTTTATTACCTTTATTTCTTGTTTAAGATATTTTACACATTTTTTATAATACTCACCATTTTGATTTTAACATTATACATCTGAAAACTAATATATACTTAAAATTCTCTTTTCTATGAAAAATTTTAAAACAGGGATCTACACACAGTCCTACATACATTCCTTGACTCGTAATAACTCATTTGCCGTTTTGGAGGATTTTCTGGGAATGTGAAACAAACGAGCATCGTCGTCTCATTTCTTACAGTCTCTTCTGAACAAAGTTTTGGAAAATGTCTTTCAGTTAATCTTTCAGAATCAATATCAGAATATCAGAATTTCAGAATCAATATCTGAAATTTTTGCATCATTTCTGCTATTTCATGCTCTGTTAAACATTTTCACACTTCGACATTGAAACGGTAAAACAGAAAGAATTCACATCTAACAAGATCTAATATTTCTAAAACTGAACTGTAAACGGAAATACTCAACACTTAGCGCATATAAAACTTCTACTTACATAAACAACTACCACGTGCGAATAAAGTGCGATTTAAAGAGACGTCATAAAATCACGCGCCATTCGGAAACATAGTTCCCCGTTTGTTTATATAATCAAAAACACATGTATGTGAGTCATGCTTTCTCATTTCGAGTAGAAAGTCTATTACATGTATCTGAAACATATGGACATACAGTGCCATCTTGTGGCAGAAATTATAGTTTGAAAAACATTCCAAGGTGCTGGCACAAATACGTGACAGTAGGTAGAGAACGCAACAATGCTCTGGCACGCCTGCGTGTCGGCCGGTAGATAAGTGTGTTCATTGCTGGCATGTATACGTGACAGTCGGCGCGAAGGGGTTAAATGGAGGTGCAGATAATCAAAAAGAACCAAGTAAGCCATTAAACATGCATCAGTTCTTTCTTACAGACATAAACTGCATATTTTTTTTACATAAAATTTAAGGGTATTTCTAATTTGATAAATGTATAATTAACCACACAAGCAAAAAAATACTCCAAGATTTGAAATTTAGAACAGATAAGGACTGGAAAACTAAATGAAAAAGTAATTTTAAACCTGCACCATACTATACAGCCTTAAAAAAGGATAAAAACTTATTTGCTGTGACTGCTTTTACAGGTGTTTTGATTATTTTACAGGTATTTTATTTCAGATTTGGCATTTTTGAATTTTAGATTATAAATCAAAGATCATTAAATTTAGACTAAAAAAGAGAAGAAAAAACAAAAATAACTTTAAAACATTTTAACTTCTTTTTATTTTTTTTCCTGAGAAATTTATATTACATATATAATAATTTATATATAAAAAAGTAAAGATAAAAATTTATAAACTTATTTTTTAAATTTTCCAAATCTGTTTACAACACCTGTTTAAAATTTTAGGAAATTTTATTTGAATCTCTCTTCTCTCAATTACACACGAATTATTCCAGATCAGTCAAAATTCCCTTTTCCCCCACTATTATTCACAGGATAACCATGATTTTATTTACAACTTACCATTCTAATAATCAAAATCAATCAAAATCATTTGAACTATGGAAGCTCAATATATTTCATAGGAAGAAGTTGAATATGAGAGTATTCCAAATAATTTCATTTATATATTCTTATATATATATATGTGTGTGTGTGTGTGTGTGTGTGTGTGTAATAAAAGAAAATTTTAGAAGTACTGATATAGGAACACTGAGATGTAGCAGTGTAGCAATGCTGTTCGGAATAGATACTTGATGCTTAGAGCTTCGACCCATTTCGAAGAGAAAAAAAATTGAGCCAGATTAAATTCCATTTTTTATATAAATTCACATTTGTGACCACAATTCATTTTACACCTTAGTCATGCCTATTCAAGAACATTTACATTTTTTAATACTATTGTGATTGGGAGAGAGCACAGTGGCGTTTAAGCAGCATGGAGGATGAGGCTAAAAGTAGTGATTTATCCAATATGGTAGTCTATTAAGAGAAAGGTTTTGGTTTATGTTAGAAAGGTTTCAGTTCTCAAGAGTTCAAGTTTCAAATAAGCTATATCATCAGCGTTACACAAGCTTTGTGGCACACATTAATCTAGAAATGGTGCAGTCCAGAAATGTTGACATTTTTAGAATAGAGAAATAAAATACCCAAATTAAAAATGAGGAATTAAGAAGCTTTTGTTAAATTGAGTTATAAAGTTGATTTACATATTTTTTTATCTTACATATCTATATTTTTATACAGTAAACAATATAAATCCATACTTACTTTTGTTTTATCCAAAACTATCTCAGAAAAAGTAGCTGTTGTCACTTCCTCAACACACACATTTGCATTCTCATCTTTACTACATCCTTCGAGTTTTCGAACAGGCATTCTTAGGTGGCGATCTAAATTTCCTGCAGTGTAGTTTTTTATAAATTCCACTAAAAATATATGAAAAAAACTAGTTTAGACTTTAGTTAATTATCTTAAATGTGGGAAAAATATACTTTTAATAAAACTCACTTACCAAGAACCTTTTTATTTATATGCCCATCCAATACATATTGACTTTCCTGCTACAAAAGAAGAATACCTACTTACATAAGAAAATAGATAAAAGTATGTTTATTTTTAATCAAATTTGAAAAAGCATCTTAAAAACATTTTTCACAGAACAGGAAGAATATAATACACACAGTTAACAATTTCCTTATTTTTTGGTTGAATCTAAAAGGAAATATTGATTATATTCTTAAAGAAAGACAATGGTGAAACCACAATTAAGTTTTTGTCATTGAAAATGGGAAGTGAAAAAATAAATAAAATCAAAGAGAATGAAATGAATAAAACAAAGGGAATGAAGTGCTCTATTCAGATTCATATTAAAAAATTATACACTTTCAAGCTTTAATTATTAAGAAGATTTTGCAAATGATAATCACAGGAAAACCATCATTTCTACCTAAAACATATATCAAACACATGCTAAAAAATCAGGTTAAATTTCATTTCTATTTAAGAAGAAGGATCACTTTTTACCATAGGATTACACATTCTTAAGCTGTTTACTTTCCGGTTACACAACAGAATGTTAAAAATCCGCACTGCTCGAGATTTGGCATTTTTTAATTTTAGATTATAAATCAAAGATCATTAAATTTATACTAAAAAAGAGAAGAAAAAACAAAAATAACTTAATAAAACATTTTAACTTCTTTTTATTTTTTCCCTGAGAAATTTATATTACATATATAATAATTTTATATAACAAAAAAGTAAAGATAAAAAATTTATAAAACTTATTTTTAAAATTTTCCAAAATCTTTTTACAACAGCCTGTTTTAAAATTTTAGGAAATTTTATTTTGAATCTCTCTTCTCTCAAATTACGCACTAATTATTTCCAGATCAGTCAAAATTCTTTTATTCACAGGATAATCATGACTTTATTTACAACTTACCATTCTAATAATCAAAATGAATCAAAATCATTTGAACTATGGAAGCTCAATATATTTCATAGGAAGAAGTTGAATATGAGAGTATTCCAAATAATTTTATATATATATTCGGCACAACTCTGATATACGCCCTAATTTTACCAAATGTGGCGATATGTGTTCTGCTCTGGTTTTTGGTGCAATTGCGTGTTGTATGGCAACCCTGTTGACGTTGAAAAATCTTTCGCTGGAGTTCGTTGGTTCCCGCCATGCTTTGTGTCTGAGAAGCTAGGGGGGAAAGATTTAATGGTGAAAGATGTTGAATTGAAGTTCGGCATAAGGAAATATCGTCGTGGCCATCCTGTTGAGGAGCAATGGGTATTTGGAGGTGTGGAAAGAAGGTATGGGAGATTTTTTTTAGTGGCTGTGCATGATAGAAGTAGGGATTTGTGATTATTTCTTATTTTATTTATTTGTAAACCATAGTGTGAATTTTCTGGATAGTGTGCCTGGCTGTCATATAAATACGATAGTGATTATGTGGCGGCATGTTAAAGGCGGTATGAAATTGGTATTTCTGCTGTTCGAAAAAGCATTAATGGTAAGTGCATTTTATTTTATTCTTGTTCTTATTTTGCAGAATGTTATGTTCATTGTTTTTTTAGTATGAATTTCAGTCATTATCGTTATTTTTTTGAATTGTTTGAAATTTATTTTACTTATTTTGTTGATTAGTGCGTACCGTCTAAATTGTGCAATTCGTAGATATTTTTGAAACAGAACGCTGTGTACATGGTATTCTTTGAAATTTATTGTTGTTACTTTAATTTATTAAAGCAAGGTGTGCGTAGTTCGTAAATTCATTCGTTGCCTAGATGGTGCCATTCGTAGATGTTTTTTTAAGTTAAAACATATTGCTGTGTACATGGACACTTGTCAAATAATTTTGGTTAGAAACTTCACGGTTTTGCTATCTAAATTTTTTGTTTTTGTTTCGGATTTTTAGCTTAAATTGTGTGTTCAAAACGTGGTTTTTGCATTCGCAAAAATTGTGTTTTTGGAGACATTTTAGGCTTAAAGTTCGAAATGTAGACAAAAAATTTAGATAGCAATATGGCAGCGTGGAGTTTCTCGCCAAAAATATTTGGCGAGAAATTTGGCGCCTTGAGGGCGCATATCAGAGTAGTTCCATATATTCTTATATATATGTGTGTGTGTGTATGTAATGAAAGAAAATTTTAGAAGTACTGATATAGGAACACTGAGACGTAGCAGCGTAGCAATGCTGTTTGGAATAGATATTTGATGCTTAGAGCTTCGACCCATTTTGAAGAGAAAAAAAATCGAGCCAGATTAAATTCCATTTTTTATATAAAATCACATTTGTGCCCACAATTCATTTTACACTTTAGTCATGCCTATTCAAGAACATTTACATTTTTTAATACTATTGTGATAGGGAGAGAGCACAGTGGTGTTTAAGCAGCACGGAGGATGAGGCTAAAAGTAGTCATTTATCCAATATGGCAGTCTATTAAGAGAAAGGTTTTGGTTTATGTTAGAAAGGTTTCAGTTTTCAAGAGTTCAAGTTTCAAATAAGCTATATCATCAGCATTACACAAGCTTTGTGGCACACATTAATCTAGAAATGGCACAGTCCAGTCAAAATCAATCAAGATCAGTCAAAATTCCTTTTTTTCCCCCACTATTATTCAAAGGATAATCATGACTTTATTTACAACTTACCATCCTAATAAAATAAAAAGTACTATTTTTAGTTCTCAACAGAATAAAATTCAAAAATTCCCAATTTATTTTTATAAAAGTGCAGTAGTATAAGTAAATACTAATGCTAATGTGATATATAGTCTGAAACAGTAATGACAACCCTAATAATATATTCAAAATGCATTGCTGATCGAAATTAAAAAATTTTTCACTGCAAATACTTTTTCTGGAAAGAATATAATCACAGAATCTTCATCATTTAGCAACTGTGAAATTGCAAAATACAGCTTAATACCTTACCAAAATCTTGCATAAAAAGCAATTCTGGATCAAAATAGATGGAGTAACAATGTTTGGTGAAGTTTATGACTGAAAGCTGCTAACATAAGTGCTCTTGTGCATATTTTGCTGTCCATCAACAAAATATTACAAAAGTTCTATTACTGCAGCCTTGCTCAAAAGAAATGGTCACTGATTTCAGTTATTTTATCACATATTTACATATTGTTTCCTTTCAAGATATTGAAAGTGCATATACTATACCAATTTACACATGAATATCAATCACGCATTGTACTTACTTATAAAGTTAACCAAATTTAACAAAATTGAAATAAATGGTACTTTAAAAGAAAAAAATATATGAATGATTTTAATTATAAAATACAATATAATTACCACAGCTTCAATTATTACAGCAGTTGTTTGATGGTAGTTTTTAGTGACATCAATACCCATATTTTCAGCAAAGGAATGATACAGCACAACATCCATAGCAATAAAAGCCAGTGTCTTATTAGTTCTACAACCCAATCCAGTGAAATTGCTAAGCCAGGAACTGTTATCAGAAGTTGGAAAACTTGGAAAATTAAGCTCTGAATAATTCAGTGCATACCTCAAACGATGGCAGAGCCTTTTTTCAGTATTCTGTATCATGGTTAATATTAAATCATCTTTCAATTCTGAAATTTCCTTTTCGGTTAACTCTCTTTTTGATGATTTTCCAGAATGAGGAGATTCTGTTTCACAATTAAAACTTAATTGCTTATATGGGCCAAATTTGACTGGATATAATACTTCTATCTCACTGCAATTTCTGAAATGTCCTAATTCGTTCAAATTGAAATTTCTAAGAATTAGATTCAGAGTATTTTCACACTCAGAAAGTTTCATATCTTCAATATCTTCTACAATATGATGGAGACAAGCTCTACAGGCACATGCATGACGAAAATTTAAATCTAAGTTTATAGACTGACAACAAGTGAGGTCACACATATCTGGACGCTTTCGGCACACATTTGGATCATTATCAGAAGAATTTCTGTGACATTTGCCAATTATCCTTGAGAATTCTTCTTGCAATACATGTCTTTTTAATACCAGTCTATGAATTAATGATTCTACAAAACTACCCTTGTTACAATTAAAGTAATCCAAAGCCACTTCTTTGAACTAAAAGAAAAAATAAAAAGTATAATAATTTTTAAGCATACAGAAGTAGTAAGTTTACAATCATATGAAAATACGCACATGCAGACACATATGTATAATTTGCTGACTTGCTGCAGTTATTAAAAAACCTACATAAAATTCTATGCTAAACTTGAAGCTGCTAAACCTGAAACATGAAAAAACATGTGAACACACACATAAAATTGCAGACTATTGAAAAAACTATATAAAATTCTATACCATAGCTGCCAAACTTGAAATATAAAAAAACAGATGTTTTCAAACTGCAAAGTCCTGCCATTTCAAAAGACCTCAAAATCAACTTCATTCACTTTAAAATGCATTACGTGGGCACTGAACTATTTACAATATAATTCTGATGTAAAATACACTAATATTTATTTTAATTTTCTAAATCTAATTTTATTTGGCTAATACCATTTAAAAATTTTTTTAACACTTCTATACTGACAAAATTCGACATAGGGAAAGACAGATTTTATTTTTCAAAGTACTTTTAAATACGATGAAAATAAAATGAGCAATAATGCCCTATATTATTGTGCAGCTTAACTTAGCAATGTAAAACAGAATTAGATACAAATATTAATTGCTTAAACATGGTTTGAAGTTCCATAAAAAGTTCTACAACATGTCTACAGTAGATTAAGGTAATTCAGATTAAATAAAATTCAATAAACAAAAAATGCTAAAATATGCTAAAAATCACTAGGGGGTGGAGGAATGGAATTTGCACAATTTTAGTTCATTAAATCAATAAATTTTATTTATTATTGAAAAACATTTTCCCCAGTAAAGGCTAAATATAAAAGTCAGAAGATTCAGTGATTTATTTAGAGAAATTAAGGGAATTTGCAGCTACGTTCTACTTATTCATTTAAAACATAATACTAAATTTTAAAAAAGGGGAGGAAATGATCATTCTGTCATCAATCATAAATGATCCGCATGGTGCCATAAATATCTTTTAACAATTATAACAATGATACAAATGTTTACAAAAATTATCTATTGAGTACACTACAAATCATATAATTAGAAGTATTCAAAGTTATATCAATTAATTACTTTAATTTCAAATATAAAATGCATACTAAATACCAAAAATACTAAAGACATTACAACACACCAAATGGAAACTTACAACACTTGACAACTTACAACTTGCCAGGTTGTATGAATTATCTCAGCAATGGAAACACTTGCCAAGTTGTGTAAATGAGTAATGCCCTGAGAGCCCAGTATAAAATTAATAGAAAGTACAGCCTAATATCAGAAAATAGAAAGACTAAACTATTGACATGTCTAACACCAACACTCATAACTTCAAGTGGTTATATTTTCAGCAAGATTTTTCTGTGAATCAGATTCTATTGACAATTTTACACTCATGTCCATAAATTAAGGATAATGCAAAATCAGGCAAAGGAAGAGTTAGAAGCAAAACAAATTTGACTTATTTGTAAAGCTTATTTATTAAACAAAAGTTAAAGAGCAAAAAAAGATGCTATATGTTTCATATTATTAAAAAAATTAACGATTTTTCTCTCCTGGAGCAAATTACAAAAAAAAAAAAAAAAAAAAAAAAAAACTATTTACAAAAAACCAATATTACATGGTTGGTATGATTGTTAATACATTGTATGTCTCCCAGACGATGCAATACAGTCCGTACAACGCCTAGGCATGCTGAGTATCAAATTATCGATCTGATCTTGGGGGATATTACACCACTCAGAAAGCAATGCTCTCCGAAGTTCCGGTAGGCATGTAGGAGAAGGTTGACGGGCTGCAACTCGTCGGCCAAGCATGTCCCACACGTGCTTTACTGGATTCAAGTCCAGTGAGAATGCTGGCCAGTCCATATGGGTGATATCCTCCGATTGAAGGCATTTGCTTACGATGTTTGCACGATGAGGACAGGCATTGTCATCCATAAACATAAATTGTGCGCCCATGGCGCCCCGAAACAAACGAACATGTTGTTCCAGAATGACGTCCCAATATATTTGGCTTGTCATGGTTCCAATTTGAACATGCAGGTCAGTTCTGGAACCCAGAATAATTCCACCCCAAACGAGTGCTCCTGCACCACCGTAACGGTGTCATTCAATGATGTTTTCTTGGTGGTAACGTGTACCTGGAGCTCTCCATATGAAAGTCCGGCGAGAATCAGACTGCACGCTAAACCTGGACTCGTCGGAAAACATCACACAAGCCCACTGTTGCGGTGTCCATAATGCATGCTCTCTACTCCAGGCTAACCGCAGGCGACAGTGAGTTGCAGTAAGTGGAACGCATCTGACAGGTCTACGAGCATATAGACCAATCTGCCCTAAGCGTCTGTATATGGTCTGCCTTGAAATTGTCGTACCAGCGGCTGAAGAGACAGGTCTGAGACTGTGCTCCGCCTGTTTCTTTTGGCAGTAACTGCCAAATACCGGTCCTCATTCGGCATTGTAACTCTGGGGCGACCTGTGCTGTAATGTCTACTCACATTACCATCATCTTGGAATCGTTGCCAAAGCCTGGAGACGACACTCTGGGCAATTCCAAGTTTGTCTGATACTTCCACTTGAGTATGCCTACATGCTAGACGGCCGATAATTCTATCGCGTAAAAAATCATCCAAATGCGTCCTTTGTGTCATAACTATTCGGTTATAGCACTGAAATGCTTATTAAGCACCCTGCGAACAATTTTACTTCTTTGCCTGTATTCCTTATATATCACTCTCGTCATTGTGACATACCATCGGTGTCATCTGGTTACTTCCTGAAATTTGCTTATGATTCTTGAAGATGTGTGTAGTGATTTAACAGCCGATATATTTATTTTAGAGTTCGATTTCTGCGTGACTCCGAATTATCCTTAATTTATGGACATGAGTGTAGTATTCAATATATGATACCTAATCTAAAGACAACATATTCTTCCAGAAAGCGGTAAAACCATGTTAACAAACAGCCTCACTAATCACATAGAGAGCTCTTGGTCTATACTTCAATTAGTTGTTTTTGTTCTGGGTCTTTTCAACTGCAGCAGTTTTACATATGTACATTTTGTAGTTATTCATGTTTTTTAAATTAAAGTTAATAAGAAATAGCAACCTCATAAAGCAGAAATCTAATGCATTAATTAATAACTGAAACACAAAAAGCACTGACAATTATTTCTAATTAAAAAAAAATCTGCAATTTATTTGTGTGGCAGACTTTAATTCAAAATGAGAAATGAAGTCAAGAAAATAGATAAAAAGTGATGAACTTTTTTGTACCTTAATGCAGTTGCTGTTTAATAAGCTGAATGCCAAAAAGTATAATTTGAAATTAAGGTTCACTTTTTCAATGAATAAAAAATTTTTTCCTCCCAAATTTCTTCAGTTTTAACTTAATCAAAGCTTAAGTGTAAATACACGTTTTTTAAATTGGTGTTAATATGGAATAATGACCTCAAAAAGCAAAAAATCTAATGCATTAATTACTAAATGAAATTAAAAGCAGACAGTTATTTCTAATAAAAAAAATCTGCAAATTACTTGCATGATGCAATTAAAATAAATGATGGTGATATGACTTTGATCCAAAATGGGAAATACAATCAAGAAAATAGATAAAAACTGGCAATCTTTTTTGCACCTTAATACAGCTGCTGTTTAATAAACTGAATGCCAAAAGGTGTCATTTGAAATTAAGGTTAACTTTTTCAATGAATCAAATTTTTTCTCCCCAATTTCTTCAGTTTTGACTTAATCAAAGCTTGAGTGTAAATAAATGTTTAATAAATATCAAATGTTTTTCAAATCTGATTTAGAATCTATATATTTACTATGCATTACATTAGTTCACATACATTATTCATTTTTTATATTAATTCTAAATGCTGAGTGACTAAATTAAAAAAAATAACTAATTAAAAAAATTGAAAAAGAAAATGTAGACATTTTTTTAAATAGTATATGAAAAATCAGAATTCTAATAAAAATAATATCAAATCTTTAATCTGTGAAAAATAAAGACTGATTCTTAAGTATTTGCTTTCCTGATGTGAAACTATCTCACGTACAGAGAAGCTCATTCCTGTACATTATGTGGTAGTGAATGCTGTATAAGAGATTGAGATTGGAACCATGATCCTTTGTTTACCATCTAGTTAAACAGTCAGATGATGCACAGGTGTTTCAGTCATTGCCATCTGCTGCAGTTGTCCCCAGCAGCTTACAGTGAAATCAGAACTCTATATGCTTAAGTATGTCTGATGCAGTCACTCAGTGGCTTTCCAATACCAAATAATAAAAAAATATGGCATTTCTCTGTAAAAAATATTTCCATTCAGAACAAAACAGACAACATTTCTTTTTCCCTTTCAGAAAGCTAACAGAAAATATGGCATCCTCATGTAAAAGACCTTTCCTATCAAAACAATACTGACAACAATTTTTACAATACTTCCTTTACTTTGTATTTGTGAAAAATTTCGGATATCATATTTCAAAGGAAATATCCATTTTGTCTACTTTATTGTGTGAAGTCTGTACATATGGACAGAATAAAGGACTTTTTTTTTTTCAAAATGGATTTAAGGTGGATTTTTTTCCCCATGATGTTTGTACCTTATAACTCAAAAATGACTAGCTGTATAATGTTGAAATTTTATTATGAGATTGCTATAACATCTAGCTGTTCACCTCCTTTTTTTATTGCAATTGGAAGTAACAAAATTATACACCAGGAATGGCCAAACTGTGGCTTGTGACCTTGTGGCTCTTCTCCGAACAGCTAAAGTAAAATAGAGTTTTACTTTTTTAAGCAGTAATAAAGTTTTAAGTAAAATAACTATTTTATTTGTTTAGTATTGTGTTTATTTTTATTATCATATATTTAATAATTTCCATTAGTTCTGTATTAGGAATCTGTACATGAAGTACTAAACTAAACACCACCAGAGGTGATCACAGTTTTGACCTTTTCAAGGAAAGT